TAATAATAAATTGATAAATTGGTCATTGAAATAATCAGCATAGTTGTAGCTTAAAATCATGAACACATTACATTAATTTATTTTCACATTTAGGCACATCACAATCTATATCCAAGAGTAAAGTAAATAAAGAGGCCGGCCTCTCCTTCCACCTCTGCCATCACACTCGCCGTGCACCAGGCTGGAGAAAACCCTGTTGGTGCATTCTGCACAGAATGAGTTTGCATCGATCTCCTCGGCTTTCTCCACAGCCGCAGACAACAGGTAGGAGGTGTGGTCATCTCCAGCGTTCAGCAGCTTTGATGATGTTTACCTCTAATTAAGTTTCTTCCCCAGAGAGAGAGAGGGAGGGGGGGAGAGCTGGGAGGGAGTGAGAGGAGATAAAAACCTCTCTGAGCAGAGTGCTGTGCAGCAATCAATCCTCTCTCCCCTTCCCTCCAGAGCTGAGCAGGGGAGGATGGATGGAAGACAGGTCTCTCATCTGGGCAAACTGGAGAGGAGAAATAAAAGAGCCATAGCTCAATCTCTACCTGAGGAAACAGAGGAGCAATGCCTCCATCCTCCGTGTCCCCCGGTGTTTACCAGTGAATCCTCAGCAGAAATTTACTTTCGATTTTCCCAAAGCTTCCTATTCCCCAAATAAAGAGGGCGATGATGATAATGGCAGACAATGAATTCCAGTCATTAGGGGCGTGAGCTCCCGGCAGCGTTCACGTTGTCACCGTTTCAGTTAAAATCTCACCCAAACAAAGAGCTTTTCAACGGATCAGCTGGAAACTTATTCCGGATGATTACAGCCAGGATTTGTTTTGTCAGTGTCTCTAAAAGGAGGTTTCCTCACAGTTTCTTTTGTTCGTCCTCATTTAGGTGTGTAAGGTGTTGAACACCACGAGCATGAGCTGCTTGGCTCCGTCCCTCGTGGCAGAATACATTCCGGGTTTGGACACGGTGAAGCACGCGGACGAGTTCGGCTTCATCTTCAACAACGTGCAGGCGCTGCTGGTCTACAACAACACCAACCTCCTCTACTACCCAAACCCGTACTTCGAGCCTCTCAGCAACTCTGGAGTCCTGGAGCAAAAACCAGGCTCCCCCATCATTCTCAAGGTAAAGTACAGACTTATCACTGTGTCCTTGGTGAAGCCTCTGACTCCACTCCTTGAATATATATATACGTGGATTTGATTCTATTCTCTCGTCCTTGAATGCCAGCTGTTCCCACTTACTGCCACTGTGAAATATATCTCTGTGTTTGATCTCGGTATTGAAGAATACTTGTCCCCAGCTGTGCTCAAACCCACGGATCTAATTTACAATATATTTAGGTGACATATTTGCTTCGTGGGGTTTTGGAATTGTTGGATTTTCCAATTCTGTGTGTCTTCCTCCTAATTTCACACCCTCTGTCCATCCCCACATGCCCACAGGGCAGAAACCTGGTTCCCCCGGCATCAGGAGGGGTGAAGCTTAACTACACGGTTCTGATTGGAGAGACTCCCTGCTCGGTCACCGTGTCTGAGAGCCAGCTGCTGTGTGAGCCGCCCAACCTCACGGGGCAATACAAAGTCATGGTGCGTATATGTCTGTGTCTTCGTTAGCCTCCACCTGCCTCAACTTCTCTCTCTCTCTCCGTGGTATTTTGATTTACTCTTCATAATAGTTGGCCTTTAAACTCCATTAGTTTGTGATGCTTTCATCATTCATTCAGCTAAAGGAAGGGGGTCAAAGGGAGAACTGCGTGAGTGTGCTCTATAGCTATCGAATGTTCTGCCAGAAATCCACTGCAATTATTTTTAGTTGAGCCTCGGACTTGTTTGCCTCTCAACATCAGTGTGTAGGTGGCAGCGTGTGTTTGCACTCGGAATCAAACAATATTTACCTCTGTTTCCTCAGACTTGATTGATCTTGCTCCCGCTGATTATAATTTGTTAAAAAGTGAGTAAATTATGCATCTAACCTTTGTGTTTTAGGATTTTCTACAGTCTCTGCAGGAAGGCGTCCTCTTCAAGTAACGTAGATTAATCGTGATTATGCGATTATGTTTGTTGTCCTTCCACAGGTTCAAGTAGGTGGTCTCCACGTTTCTCCCGGTGCGGTCCACATTATGTCGGATAGCCTGCTCACCCTCCCCGCCATCGTCAGCATCGCCGCCGGTGGAGGCCTCCTCCTCATCATCGTCATCCTCGTCCTCATCGCCTACAAGCGGAAATCGCGTGAAAACGACCTCACCCTGAAGCGCCTGCAGATGCAAATGGACAACCTGGAGTCTCGGGTTGCCCTGGAGTGCAAAGAAGGTTAGAACTGTAGAGTCAGCGTACGGAGCGAGTGTGAAACTGTGGAGTCGCTCACTGTTTTCACCGGAGATGATTATGGGTCTGTTTTGCTTTGAATATACATTTACAGACAGTAATTCTAGAGGCTGCTCTCTGAAAGCATGTATAAAAGGAAAAAAAATGTGTACTTATACGTATAGTACAGTAAGTAAATTACTGGTTGTCTGCGTTTGTTGAATAATTCAGTGAAAATATCTCCAAATCTGGGGCAGTGAGTCATCCTGCTTTTAAACCACAACACTCAGATTCAGCCCGTTAGCCCCGTGTGTGACCTGTCTGGTCACCAAGCAAATTCTCGCAGTTCTTGCTGCCTTCCAGTTTGCATGCTGTACACACAGACTCGCACACAAGCTGATGCATGAATACAGAGTTTCTCGTTAGAGGGAACTAACCTCCTCCCAGCGAGAGGAACATTATGTTTAGTGCATTTTATTCATGTTTTAACTGGAGGGATAATTCCACGTTTATGTTTTTATGAGATGTGTGTTTCTGTACCTCTGTAATTGTGTGTTTTCTGTGTGCAGTTGTGTTTTAGCTCCATGAAAATGACCCTAAAAAGCACCATTGAGCGCTTCACACTATGTTGCCAGTGTCACTGCAACACAGAGCTGCTTTTAAACACACCTCCCTTGTGGCTCAGGGTCAAACGAGGGCACAGTAGTCAATCTGACCTTTTGACACCCCGACCCTGTGGGAGGACCCCAGATAACCTCAGGCTGACCTTTCAGCCGCTCCTCCATCAGCAGTTCAACAAGACAACAAGCCCTGTGTTCCAAAACCTTCAGTTCGACATGAATTCTTTCAAATAAACACAGACGATTGGCCCCTGATGTCATCATCGGGGTCATTAAAGCCAATCACTGAGACGGCAAAAGTGAGGTTTCTATTCGACAGCGTTCAGGAGATTTCATCAGCCAGAGAGGACCTTATTACTCATCCCCTCCAGCTACCCCGGAGTCGCTCCTCCAGTTTTATTAAACAGGGGAAAAGCAGCCGATTGCAGCAAACTTCCAGAGTGGTCCAATGACAGACGGTTACGCAGATAGAGCAGGAAAACATGGAATCAGTCGTACACAGGGAGTTACAGGAAAGGAGATGCATGTTTTAACCATTAGCAGTGACCAGGAGTGTGCTGCCCTGCAGGGTGGATTTAGACCATACCTGGGTGCCTCCGCATGAGCGCACACACCCCTTGTGTGCCTGTAGGCTCATGTGCTGGCGTGTAAACCCTCCCCAAGGGCAGCGAGGCAGAGCAACTGAGACGTTAGGCCGAACACGAGGCAGTCAGGATGGAGCCAATTAACCAGAGCTCACCTGCAGCCTCACACTGAGTCCACACACACTCTTCGGGGCCTCGGCTTCAGCTAATTTACTGGTCGGTAGATAAAAATGAGTGACAAGGGGCTGTGCACATGTGTGTGTTGTGTATGAGGAAGAGCAAGCTCTGGGTTTTTTAGTGGGAGAGATGTGAAACATGGAGTTTCTCTGATATCTCGAGCTCTAACTGTCGACTTCATTATAACAGCAGGGGAGACCATGACGATAAGAGGGCTGCACATATTTGGTCCTTGGGGATTAAAGAATAGTTTTATATTTGTGCTGTATTTCTCAAGTATAAACAGATCTCTTCTCTTTGTTTTCTTTTTTCTCAGCTTTCGCCGAGTTACAGACGGACATCAATGAGCTGACCAGCGACCTGGACAGAGCCGGAATCCCTCATCTGGACTACAGGACGTACGCCATGAGGGTCCTCTTCCCCGGCATCGAGGATCATCCTGTCCTCAGAGAACTGGAGGTAGTGAGAGAGAGAGAGGGAAGACAAATTGGAAGCAAGATGAATGAGACACATAGGCAGCAAATGCATTAAGAAAGGGCAAGAGAAAGTCAAACTGAGGTAAAAAAAGAAGGAGTGGATGTGTGTTTGTCCTCATCATCCGCCTACAGAGGAACCTCTATAGCACTTATCCTTTCCACCCTCTGGTCCCACACATGCACACATATAGCCGATCATGCTGGGCAGCACACGCTCACACACACACAGACACACACACACACACACATACATCTCACCTGCAAGCTCCCCCGTAGAAAACAGGGTCCAGGCACATGGTTATTTCATCCACCAGTGGTCGCGGTATGAGGAGTAATGAATTGAATAATTCCCGGGTCCCAACATCGGAGGAGAATCTGGCTGGTTAAGACTTTCTGGCTCTTCATCATGGGGCCAGAGTAAAGCTGGAGAATTAGTATATGTTATGTGGAATGCGCATTTCGGGGATAAAGAGATTCATGGTGATAGAGGGTGAAGATTGTGTGTGAGGCAGGGTGGGATTGTTTTATTGGATGGAGGGATTCAGATCAGACTCTCCCTGTAAAGGCTGCTGCTCACTAGAGCATCCAGCAGCCATAAGTCAAAGGCAGTCTCTCCACTTCTACAGAGATGTTCAGTGAGTTACATAAGCCAGACATTTTGAGTTTGACAAGTTTTCATATCAAATAAGGTCAAGTCAAGTCAGTTGTACTTATACAGACCCGTCTCTCACATTTTCCTGGGGCTGTACAGTCTGTGCCCTCTGTCCTCAAACCCTGGGCGAGATATCCAAACTTTTTGGGGGAGTGAAGAAAGACACGTAGGGATTGTCTTACACTGGAAAGTAATTTAACATGTGACTTAGAAGAGAAATGGCAGCTGACTCAAGCTACAATGCTTTTTAACAGACCTGGGTCAATAATTGATTAAGATCCTCTCAGTTACTCACCATGAGTGGGAACTTCTGCCTGAACTGAAACATGAGTGAGGGTTGTGATCCCTTTGGAATAATCTTTATTTTGTGTGAGACAAGGTCAGGACGGAGGCAGAGGAACAACAAGTCTTATAACTCGTTGTCGAACTATCACTGAGCGTTAATGCTGGAAGACGTTCAGCACTAACGCGCATTTTTCCCGTCCATCCAGGTGTCAGGTAACGGCCAGCAGAATGTGGAGAAGGCCTTGAAGCTGTTCGGCCAGCTCATCAACAACAAAGTGTTCCTGCTCACCTTCATTCGCACGCTGGAAATGCAGCGTTCCTTTTCCATGAGGGACCGCGGCAACGTGGCCTCACTCATCATGACGGCCCTGCAGGGGCGACTGGAGTACGCCACCGACGTCCTCAAGCACCTGCTGTCAGACCTCATCGACCGCAACCTGGAGAGCAAGAACCACCCCAAACTGCTGCTGCGGAGGTAACGCTCCGCCCATTGAGACAGAGCGTGATGATTGTGTCCTGTAGCGATATGAGGGTTTGGGAGTTGCCTGCTAGATTTAAAGCAGTTTATCCAATCTATTAATTAAACTCTGCGAATTTGATTTGAATCATTCCCAAAAGCTTTCAACAAAATCAACAAAGAAATGCCTATTAATAAATTAATTACTAATTAAATACATACAACAGGAACATTATAATTAATCAAATTAAAACAATTTACATAAACTAATAAAAACAAAAGCCTCTTCAATATAATACATGTTCATTAACAGGAATTTGCCTGTGATTTAGTTTCAGGTGTTTGATTTCATTAAAAAAAGAATAAGAATATTTCACTGTATATTTGTGGATATGTGATCTTGTGCCCTGAGGATATTTATGGAGATATTAAAAACACAGCTCTCATTTAAACACATAGAGACAGACGGATGAGGAGTGATTGTGGAGCTGTATGTTCTTCTTTCTCTTGTGGGCGGATGCATTCTGCTTCTCCCATGCAGACACTTTGCAGAACGAGGCTTGTAATGAGTGCTACGGCAACATCTACAGTACGCTGAGATAAACGCCGCGCGCCCTCTTCACGTCGGGAGAAACATCTGAATCCTCTCTGAAATTCCACATTCTCTCTCTCAGTCTGTCGCTCCCCCTGCTCTCTCTCATTGCCGATGTCAGTCTCACTTATCCTCCAGGCTCAGGCACCTTATGAAACATTCAGCGGCGGTTTAACTTTTTTTTTTCCCTCCGTCTCTGTGTCTCCAGTGTACATTGTTTTCCAGGGGAGTTGGGATAATGTGTTAAAACTTTAAACACCTGCTAAGTCCTGGCCCTGGTTTCCTCGGCTGCCTCTGTGCGCGTGTGGAGGCAGCGACAGACAAAAGCTCGGCTGAAAAGAAACAGAACGTACAAAGCGCGGTCACCGTGAACAGTCGTTTGAAAGCCTGACTCTCTGCGTGGTTTTTGATTATGTTTCAAGACTAATAAGCAGATTCAGTGAGAGCGGTCAGCTGCTACACTTTCAAAACGCCACCTTCTTTCTGATGTTGATGTTCCCTCGGTGTCTTTATTTGAAAAAGCAGACAGAGGAGACGACGCACACAGAGCTGGAGGTGGAAAGACGGAGAAGTGGACCAAGGTGACGCAGCCTCACTTAGATTAAGCTGTTATTTCACATGACAGCAAGTTTTCACTTTCCTCTCTCATTAGGAATGACGTTGTGTAATCCCGGGTCCTGGCGCTGCAGCGTGGAGGGCTAAATGTCCGATAGGTTTTGTTTTTTTTTACATTTCACTCCTCGTTTTTCTGAGGAATTCAAGGGATTATCGATTTCACGTGGCGCTTTGCTGTTGTTGTCTTCCTCTTCGCCTATTTTAGAGAAAAGCCGAGCCAACCAGCTGACTCTCACACGTGCACAAACACACACGTGCACACGTCTGTGATGATAGTCAAATTGAGCACGTCTCCAAGTGGTAATTGTATTTGTGCCGGGTGCAGGAGTGAGGCGGCCGGGCTGCGCTTTGTTGCCATTTTTCCCATTCAGTTGTCTTCTCTATTGGCTCTCCTCAGTCTATTGTCTCATTCTGTATAATAGGATAGTGAAATGCTTGCTATTATGTTGGCTGAGAACCCCCTCTGTTTTCTGGTATTAATGAATGCTGCTTACAATGAGCATGTAAGCAGATCCTTGAGCTTTTTTTTTTTGATGATGTCCAAATCTGTCTGTCTGGGTGCCACATGTTTGTGCATGTGGATTCTGGTTCACTAATAAAAGCTGAGCTGGATACGTTGGGATCCAGTGTCCTCTGAGTAGATAAGTAGAAGCAGCGGTCACTCTCACTGTTGTTCGGGATGAATTATTAGTGAGTGTACAGTCCCTGGGCAAAGTTTACATGGCTGCAGGAGAGAGCCAACATACAGCAAGGTCCTCCGGGTCACCCAACCTACTTCCTGTCCTCATTTATATTACAGTGGGTTGAAAGTGTCACTGCAAAGAGCTTTGCCTTCTCTTCAGCTGTTTGTGTTTGAATGAATGCTTCTCTCTGGAGGGGAACATGTCCACGAGCGATAGCATCCTCGAAGAGAAAACCACACTCACACAAGATCTCACTCACAGAGTCAAAGATACGAAAATAGTTCCATCTGTCATGGTGCCTTAGCATGTTATCATCATGCTCCCTCAGTGGCACGTAATAGTCATCAAAGTTTAATGTGCACGATCCAAATGGTTGTTCGGGGAAGGATAGTCCACATTCTGCACTTCGGTTATCGTAAAAAGCGAAAAGACAAAGAATTAGTCCGTCTCAATGTCCTTCTAAGACTTTCCCCAGTTTGTTCTTGGTTCTAACTGATGTTCTGACCCGTCAGAGGATGAGTTGTGTAGATAATATGCTGGATGGATGGATTGAAACATTACTATTTATCTGCCTAAGACCCATGGGATTGCAAGAATTTCATGAACTTGTGTGAAAAGTCTATTTGTTAGGGACAGTTTTGAGTATTTACAACAGCAGGTTGGTGTTTGTAAATGTTAAAGTACCAGTGTGCAGGTTTCAGTGGCATCTAGTGGTGAGGTTGCAGATGGCAACCAACTGAATACGCCCCTCGCCTTGGCCCTTAGGTGTGGAGAGGAATCTACAGACAACAGGAAGACAGGCTAGGTCCTCTCTAGATCCAGGCTGCTGTAGAAACATGGCGGTCTCCGTGGAGGAGGCAACACGATGAATAGATTCTGCCAATTAAATCCAACAAACTGGACCTTTGATTCAAAATAAATGACTGTGCCCATGTAGATTATGAAGAGTGTCACTCAAAGGTTAAGCTTGTGTGTGTTGTTTTGAATAATTATTGTTCAATGATGGGAGTTTAATAATCTGGAGTTTGTTATATGGGCTACACTTGTTGGATGTTTTATGGGATGAAACGGAGAGAATATCACCAGACGTATGTTTTAAATACACAGTCTATCATCTATCTTTAAATCATTCCTGTATGCAGCGGAGTGAGTGCTATATATTGTTAAGAGTGTATAGATGTTTAGGGAACTAAGGGAGGCTCTGACACAAAAGCAGTACGATGCGGCTCTTCCAGCAAAGTCCCTTAATTATTGATCCCCGTTCCTGCGGTGAGTTCCAGTGACAAGATGAAGCGTCGTGTCATCGCTAACCACAGAGCAGAGGGAGAGGGGAAGACAGGACGAGTGGGGAAAAATGAACGGCAAAGTTGAGTATGTGCATTTGAGTGAGATTCAGCGATGAAGCTGCAGCTAGACAACTAATAAACATATTAATCTGGCTAATTAGACGGAGGCTGTGAATGCTTTCCACAGAGAAATGTTCAAGTTACGTGGGCAGCACATTAACGATGTAAACTTCTTCTGATTAACATTAGGTCTCCGCCTGCCGCTCAACAACTCTGTATGCCTCCTACATACCTTTCTCTCTGTATTCCTCTCACACACACTCACTCTCTCTCACACGACAGATTATCTCCTGATACAATTTCTTTCATATTTTACTGTTAAATTGCTGATGTGCTATCTATACTTTTTAGAGAATGATAATATTAGATTAACTTATTTCACTCTACTGTCACTAAACTGTTTATACAGAGTCCGAAAATATAGATAATGCCAGAATAACTTTAGATTTTTGATAAAAGACAAAATAAAAAAAAACAGTGAGTAATGAGTTTTCAGGGTTAAAGGTAGAGTTGGTAAAATGGCTGTTAAAACAACATCCCTCTTCTCCGCTCATGTTCAGCGTGGGCCAGGATCTGATGGGTACATTTGCTGGCAGTAGATTTGCCTAATATGTTTACAGTCGGGCATAAATATGCAGCAGGAGCACACTCTGAAGTTTTCATTCATTTTGAATTTCTGCTCCTCTCCTGAAATGAAGTTGAACGGGCGGGAGAGGCGGATCATAGAATGAGAAAATAAGATTGCATGCAAAAGAGCCTCGTGGCAGATTTAGGAGGATGGAAAACAAATCAATGGCACTTATTTGAGGAACTGGTTCACCGCGTAATGGCAACTGAGAATACGACGCATGCAGCGGGCTCATGTCATTGGCTGAGATTAATAGCGGGGGCTTGTTGTGTTTGAATGCACAACAGTTTGTGTGTGTGTTAGTGTCTGCTAAGTGCTAGATCCCATTTTACCATCCGTCATACGAGTCAAACAAATCAGAGCATTTGCCTCCATGTAGCAGAGGTATAATATCACCAATCAGTTCTTGGAATCCCTCTTGCATCGTGCACTCGTGCTCCTCTGAGGCGCGTCGTTCAAAGCAACCCTGGCCTCCTTTGTATTTAAAGATGTGAGGCGCTTTCCGCTTTCTTTCTCTCCATGTGGAAAGATTGTTGCTCGCAGACACTAACATTCTGCTTGAAGCTTTCTCAAAGCGTGTGTAAGCTCTGACAATGTGTTTGATTTCCTCACTCTCCAGCGCACTAAGTGGAACTGATGCTGCACCTCATGGTGTTTGGATTGTATTTTTCCGCCATTAGCGAAATACATTCTTGCGCTCGCTTTCTCTCTCGGTGCCCGACCTGTCCGCTCACTTCACCGCATTGTCCATTATTACTGGAACTCTCACGGTGTTGGACGACCCCCGACAGAGCCTCCTAGAATAGCTCGCCACTTCTTTTCGACATTAAACTCTATTCTCCGTTCTCTCCATTATCTCCTCGAGTTTTGCCACAGCCTTTCTCCTCACCCAGTTTCTCCCTCTCTCACTCCTCTTCATAATGTTCTTTTAATGGAATCACAGAACATTGCTTCTATCACCTTGAGACTTTTCAATCTTGTATTATTTTTCTCCTCAGCGTTTTGTAATGAGATTTCCGCCCATGCAGAGCAATGGAGTACAGCATTATTAAGAGAGCCTGTATTGTGTTTGGCATTCGTTTCATTGAAAGACATTCCGCTGCCTGCTAATATCGCCTCCCCTCCATCTGAGCTGCCATTAGGAGACCAGAAAGGGGGGGGGGGGGGGTGCAAGGCACCCTCTTAAGCATTATGTGGGATAATGAAATCCTGATGTTCATTAATGGAACTCAATTAATTGAAAGAGGGAAGTGAAGGCAGATGAGGAGGAGGAGGAGGACAAGAAGGAAAAGAGAAGGAGGAGAAGAAAGTGCGTCTGCCCCCCCCCCCCCCACATTCAAAAGGAAAGATATTACGGGGGAGTCGGCGTAGCCCCCGCACAAAAGCCTTTATTTGACTTCCTTCTTCGGGACTTGCTGAGCTTATTAAAATGCTTAATAGGTTCCATTAACTTCTAACACACTCAATACTCATACGAGCTGGGAGGGGAACATGATAAGCAGGGTGGGGGGGGGGGGCAATTACACAGGGATTTGGGGTGATGTCAAAAAAAAATCTACAATATATTTAGGTTTATTCAGCGTGAAAACGCAGCCTCAGGCACCGGCAGTGGCTCCTTATTGTGTTTGTGGATGAAGGCTTTTTGTTGTGCTGCACCTATTGTGTGTCTCCCTCTCTCCGTGCATGTATACCCTCTCCTGTTTGTTCGTTCGTATATGTCGGAATGACAAAGAGGTGGGGCTTGTGCATTTTCATGCCACCACAGAGGAAGCAGTCACACACGCTCAGGAGCTTGCACTTCCTCAGATTTAGGCTTTTCAGCAGTGTTTACTCTCTCATGCTGCAGCTGCCCCCCCCCCCCTTCCCCATTTTCTGTCATCCCTCTCTCCATCCTCTCAGCGAGCTGCCAATAGTCTGGCCAGCAATCTCGTTCACAGAGGAACTGCCTCCAGGCGTGAGCGACAACATCACAACACATCATTCAAAGCAAAATACAACCTCTCCACCACTGTTTTGCAGCTGAAGGGCAAAGTCCCGTATTTGCATGTGAAAGAGAAAAAGACGTCTCATTCTTAAATAACTCATTCAAGTGACCGGCTCTTTTTCTAGTCTCAGCATCTAAAACGTTGGCTGATGTAACCTTCTCCGGCTCAGACAATTCTTCCAGGATTTCTGCTTCTGTCCCAGACTCTTACTTATACCCCTCAAACACGACTTAACGCAATTATCTCCATAATAGTCATAATCTCCCTCTAGGTCCATTCACAGTCTGAATAGGTATAATCATCCCCAGCACTATTTAGCTCTAAGGAGACGGAAGCCTTCCAGCTTGTCTTTAATACCTGGCAGCTTCAATTCCGTCTAATCCTTAGTTCAGCACAGTGCACTGTGAGGCCCCTCCATCATATCCACCAGAGTAATCACAGTCATTTCCTGCCACATTAAGAGGGTCATTCTTTTTTTTTCTTTTTTTTCAAAGCATTTCTATTTAAATTGGCAACGCTAACATACAAGCTGATAGGGGAGGAATCATTTGCAGCCAGGTGACAATCAGAAGCTGCCACACACTGTGGGGCACTTTAACACTTGTGATGAGTGAGCAGCTAAGTTAGGAGCTAGTGGGAGTGACCACAGAGATAATGGTGTGGACCAAAAACAGACTGGTGGAGAAATCGATTTCCAATACAAACCAGCTTTGGTATCAGTGCTGGTGTTGGTTGGATAGATGGATGGATGGATAGAGAGAGAGATGGATGATAGAAAGATAGATAGATAGATAGATAGATAGATAGATAGATAGATAGATAGATAGATAGATAGATAGATAGATGGATAAATAGATGGATGGATAGATAGAGAGATAGATAGATAGATGGATAAATAGATGGATGGATAGATAGAGAGATGGATAGATGGTTAGAGAGATGGATGGATAGATAGATATAGAGAGAGATGGATAGAGAGAGATTTGGATGGATGGATGGATAGATAGAGAGATGGATGGCTAGAGAGATGGATGGATAGATATAGAGAGAGAGAGATGGATGGTTAGATAGATGGATGGATAGATAGAGAGAGAGATGGACGGATAGATATATATAAAGAGAGATGGATGGTTAGATAGATAGAGAGATAGATAGATAGAGAGATAGAGAGAGAGATAGATAGATATTTATGGATCTTGATGAGGAAACCTATCATTCTTCTGCAGTGGAGATGATTATTTGATGATGTGCATTGTTTTGTTGGCCTGGTTGATTTAACTGTACACGCTCCTCTGAGCCGCTCTAGTTAATTCTGTCCTCATGCAGACGCGTGCCGCAGTCAAACGGAGGAGGTGAAAGAGCAGCGAGGAACTGTTGAGTTGAGGGAGCTTGTTATTCACCTCAGGTGCTTGTCCACATGAGTTGCACAGAACTAACCCTTTCATCTGTGCTTCACGCTTGTTAACCGTTCCCACCTGGCTGTTTGGTGTTCTGTCTTTTTTATTTTTTTACGTCTAACTTCTGCTTTTCTAGTGTTCCGTGATGGTGCTAATGAGGCAGATGGGGGATGTTTGTCTGCCGTTCGGTGGAAGATACGAGCAGGAATCATGAAAAGACGTACACACAGTCCTCTTGTGGGCCGAGTTAGAAATAGCGGTGAGGTCATTGCACACTTGTGTGGTTTTCATGCCTAATCAAGCCCAGCAGCAAGCTGCACCTCCATGTGTGATTGACTGGGAAGGGAGAGAAGGTGAGGGAGGAAGAGGAGAGGAAATGAAATGAGAGATGGTTTTTGGCTGTGATCAGGCGTCACCTGGCTGCGACAGCACTCGTCTCTCTCAACAGCTGAGGCTTGTCACAGCTGATGAAGTCCCGCTGTGTTCGACCACACATGACTACAAACACACACTCAGCTAACTCGCACATCCATGCGTACACAGTCGCACACATTTTAACTTGTGCACGCACGCAAACCCTGCACGCACAGACGCCCTCTCTCTGCGCTCGGCTCGGCTCTGCTCATTCACCGTGACCACAGCATTGCAGACGGTACACAGGCACAACCGGCGGCAAGACGCACCCACCCAGGATGCCAAGATAACCTCCCTGAAGTCTTGCTCATAACCTCATGAATTATGCAACACCTCTATTATCTAAAACTTCTGGAATATCAATAGGAGAGAAAAAAAACCCAGAGTAAAATGTGTTTTCCTGTTCTTGTCATGTCATTTCAGAACAGAGTCGGTTGCAGAGAAGATGCTTACAAACTGGTTTGCCTTCCTTCTTCACAAATTCCTTAAGGTTGGTGCACCACCTTGTTTGTATGTGTTAACACATACAAATATAACTTCTGTCTCTAATTAACCATGTTGCTATATTAAAAGTGTGATCACACATTGTCAGATTTGTGCCGTGGGTGGACTTGTGGGTGTTTCAGTCTAATAGATTATTTTGTTTTCTAATCAATCTGTCGGTTTGTTTGTGTGTGTGTGTGTGTTTGCAGGAGTGTGCTGGGGAGCCACTGTTCATGCTGTACTGCGCCATCAAGCAGCAGATGGAGAAAGGGCCCATTGATGCCATCACCGGAGAGGCCCGCTACTCCCTGAGTGAAGACAAACTCATCCGACAGCAGATTGAGTACAAAACCCTGGTATGTCGCACTCGATGAGGTGCACAAGAAGTGTGCACGGATATATGTAAACGCACGGGTAGACCCATAAGTTAAACCGATGCCAAGCTGAAATACATACAAGCCCACGTTTATTATCTGGGCCAGTAAAAAAAATCACTTTTCCTAATTTTACTTTTTTCGCTGTTACTTCTTCACCGTAATCCACTGTTCAGATGATTGTCGGGTCTGCTGTGCTCAGTTCCCTCCTCCCTGTGTGGAAAGAAAACAACTAATGATCCCACAGGCTCCAGTGTTGGTGCAACATCAGAGTAGGTGGCTGTGCAGATCTGAAAACACCAAAGAGACACATGCACGGTTAAAGAAAAAAACACTCACACAGCCAGCATGTGACATGAAAATGCTCTGATTGCTCTGACTGGAAATTTGGCTCATTACGCACTAATACCCCGGCAGAGCTGGAAATTGGTATCCTGCCGAAGGTGTGAAATTAGATTTCGGGATGCCAGCAAAAGCGGAAATGGTTTCTTAAAGCTCATGCCATGCTCCAAGGAGACTCTAATGAGGGCGAAGCCTCAAGCTGTACCCAAGTCGGGCAATAACAGGACACCTCTAGACTCTGCTACCTCGTTTCCCCCAGTAATTGTTTTTCTCTCTCCTCTTCTTCCAATCTGTACAATCCAGATCCTCAACTGTGTGAACCCGGACAACGAGAACAGTCCGGAGATTCCAGTGAAGGTGCTGAACTGTGACACCATCACTCAAGTGAAGGAGAAGATACTGGACGCCGTTTACAAGAATATGCCGTATTCTCAGCGGCCACGTGCTGTCGACATGGACCTCGGTACGGCACAAACATGCACTTGCACATATGAACACGCACACAGACGCCCACAGATGCAGTTGGCAGGTGCGAAGTCCTTCATACCCACAGATTAATGTATCAGTGAGAGAAAACCTAGCCATGTGTACAGATTATCAGTGCATTAGCGTGATAAAAGCTGTGTTCCAGCAGCCCAGTGAGCCAGCCAGCCCCACTGCACTGCTGCCAGGCCTTCTATCAAACTGACTGACACTGTGTGCTGCGTCCCTCCGTCTGGCTGCACAGCAGAGCCAGTAAGACACAGTAGACGGAGACTGAGAAGTGTCCGTGTGTGTGTGCGTGCGTGCGTGCCTGTGTGTGCGTGTGTGCGTGTGTGTGTGCGTGTGTGACGTCGCTGGCTGGCTGACCCAGGTAAGAGCTGACAGACGGGCTCTGCAGCCTCATGCTGGGCTCCACTCCCACGCAGTCTGCCACCTCCTCGCCTCTCCCTACCTCGCCTCCCGTTGCCCTCTCCCTCCTCTCACTTCACATGGGCGAAGAGAACAAAAGCCCCCCCCCCCCCCCCCCCCCCTGCAAATCAGCACATCATCCATCACCCCCCCTCCAACATAACCCTCTGTCCATCCGCTCTCTCGTTCTCCTCTGTCCATTCCTCACCCTTTTCA